CCCCCCCCCCTCAACTTACTTGGCCTTGTCAACTCCACTGAGCGTCAACTCGACATTTCCATCAGAATTGACAACCCCAGCAGCAGGCACCAGCACAAAAGTAGTTGTAGTAGTAGTCTTCTCCTCCTTCTCCTTCTCCTCCTCCTTGGCCCTCCTCTCCTCCTTCTTCTCGGCCTCAGTCCTGGGCCTGAGCTTCCCCTCAACAGTGGGAAATTGCACAACAGGCAGTACAATATTCCTATCCCCCTTGTCCGCGAGCATAAGCTTGACAACGAGCTTGGAGATTTCCTCCCTCTTCCTGGTGACGATAATCTCCTCGAACCAATTCTTGAGTGTCTTTATCGGCAGTCGGTAATTCTGGATAGGCGTCTCAAAGAACGACTCAACATACTGGAGAACATAGAGACCACAATCCGTGAAGTTTGATTGCTGGGGTACCTTGGGACAGGCGCCCTTGATGGTGTCCCTGGAGAAGACCTTCTCCTTTCCCATTTTCGCCTGATACTCGCAGCTGAGATAATCCCTGAGTGTGGCGACAACCCGAGCCCTGCCAGGTCCCGCCAGCGAGTCAAAGATCAGAATGCAAGGGATCTTCTGGATCTCCTCGGGCTCCTCCTTGATCTCCTCCTTGACCTCGGCCTTTACCTTGACCCTCTCGTCGCCCTTGCCCTCCTCCTCCTCGTCCTTCCCCTCCTCGTCACTGGTCTCCATGAGCTCCTCGTCATCGCCCTCAGCCTCGTCCCTCTCACTGAGATCGTCAGCTGGGTCCAGGGTGATGGTGGTAGCCTCCTTGGTAACAGTTGTCACCGGTGTGATGGTGGTGCTCCCAATGGTCACACTCTGAAGTTTAACCTTATCGCCCTTCCCCGAGCCTTCCATCACCCTCTTCTTGACCTTCTCAGCGTTCGCAGGCCCTTTCGGAGGACTAACAACACCCACAAGCCCCGGGAAACAGATGATCGCCAGGAACCAATGGGCGTGTTCATTGATGGGTATCACCACAAAGTCCTTCTCGAAGATGTTTACGTTCTTCGTCCACTTCTGGACCCTGGCGTGTCGCTTGACAGCTGGTGACACATTGGCAGTGTCACCTGATTGTGTAGGGGAGGTTAATCTCTTGTAGAAGTACGAGCTGAAGACGTGAGTCCTGCTGGCGTCCTCCTCGGACAGTCTCTCCAGGGTGAGATACTTCAGGTAGAAGTCGATGATGGCGTCGTTGAGGAACTGATCCTCTCCGAGGCAGGCGTAGTCCTCAGTATTGAGGGCTATCCCCCCTTTCGCTGGAGGTGGTGGATACACTGTGATCTTCTCGACAACTCCATTGGTCCCAGATGTCGTCGAGACTCTCCTCGGATTCTGGAGGTTGTCCTTGGGGGAGGCCTTCACCAGGATGTCATTGGCTTCCTTTGAATTGAGTTCTTCGCAGAGATTATTCTGGTGGAACAGCTGCTTCAGGATGTTCTTGGACTCCTCTGATATCTTCTCGGGCAGCAGGGTGATACGCTTGTGTGTGTGATCCTTGCCTGCTGGGTCGTAGTAAGGTCCGATGGGGTCCTGCATCCCCAGGACTCCACGAATTTGCTCACCGGATTTCACTGATGTGTAGAAAAAGAGGACTGGCATTCCCTTGCCGAAGTGAATGAGCACTTTGACTATTGATGACATCATGACGTGAATGGAGACGGTCTTCTTGTCGTCTTCCAGAAGGGGCACTGAAAGGATGAGCCCTGATGAGTTGACGATTACTTTCTCGTGGGGGACGTACTTGTATGAGCCTATTCGCACGGTTCTACAAGACAATGAAGTGCTGATGACGCTTGTCATGTTGTCCAAGGTGGTGCTGTCGTCCAGCGATGTATCTGATGATTTCGACGTGCTCGTTATGATGGGTTCCTTGTCCGATATTGGGACGAGTTCATCGGGATGTGAGCCTCTGCTGATGAGCAGCTGTGACAGCTTCATGCAGTCGTTCTTCTTGGACTTCTTGGCGGGATTCTCGTCTTCGTCGTCTGAGGACAGGGTCAGACACTCGGGTTCCCTGATGAGAGCTTTTGTCTTGGAGTTGATGGGTTTGGCCAGTCGACCCTTTGGCTTCTTCACTTCTTTGCTGAGGGTCTCGGTCTTCTTTCGGGGGTAGAAGTTGTCGATTGGTATGAGGGCTTCCTTCTTCTGATTGTCCAACAGCGGCACTGTCTTGGGATTATCCGGGAGTTTTGTCTTGCATCTGGCGCATTTGTTGAAGTCCATGGAGCAACAGCCGCAGTGGGGACAGACTGCCAACTGATTTTCAATGAATTTACGGTCTTCGGAGGAGGAGTTGCTTTCGTCGAGGTTGGTAATACCTTGGGAACAGTCGGAGGAGACGTAGTCACTCATTGCCTCGTCGGGGGAATCTTGTGAGTCTACTACCATTGAGATTACACCACCTTCACCACTCTCGACGATGTAGTTTATGTGGAGGATGGGGTCTTTTACGAGGGATACGGTGGTCTCACCTGGGAACACGGTTCATTGGTTCGTGAGAATGACGGATTGATAGATGGGCAAAAATGCAGGTGAAATCGCATGGGCCAAATTGCGTAGGTAAAAAATGGTGGGTGAAATCGTATGGATAAAATAACTTGCCTTACCTGAAAGCTAAAAGTAAGGGTGAAATCGGAGGAATATTATGTAATTGGATAACATTATCAAGTAATGCAAATAAAATCGTAGAGGTCAAATCATGCAGGTGAAATCGTATGGGTCAAAATTGAATGCCTAAAGGACGTCAGGCAATATTGTGAGCCGAATTTGGAGAGAGAATTTTCGTAGATCCTGATAGCTCAGCTGGAAGAGTACCCGACGCGTAATTGAGAGATCCCAGGTTTGAATCTCGGTTAAGCACCGCGAGATTTTTTCCTCTCTAAATTCTAATCCAAATCGTATGGGTCAAATTGCGTAGGTAAAAAATCATGGGTGAAATCATATGAATAAAATAACTAAAATAACTTGCCTTCTCGGGAAGCTGAAAATCAGGGTGAAATCGAATGAATATAATATAACCGTAAAGTATCATTGGCCAAATAATGCAAATAAAATCCTAGGGGTCAAAGCATGTAGGTCAACTCGGGTAAAAAATGGGCTGAATTTGGAGAGAGAATTTTCGTAGATCCCGATAGCTCAATTGGAAGAGTAGTCGACGTGTATCTTAGAGATCCCGGGTTCGAATCCCGGCTGGGCAATGCAAGATTTTTTCTCTGACATTCTCATCTAAATCGAATGGGCAAAAAATATGAGTGAAATCGTGTGGGTCAAGTCATGCAGGCAACATCGTATGGGTGAAATGGTATAGGTCAAACCATGTGGGTTAAATCGGGTAAAAAATCATGGGTTCAAAAACGTGAAGAACAAAAAAGACGGTGAAATCGTATAGGTCCACTAATATAGCCCTAATTGAATAGGTGAATTCATACGGGCAAAATCGTATGGGTCAAAAATAATGAATCAAACCATATGGCTGAAAAATGAGTGAAATCATATGGGTCAAATACAAGCCAAATTGTGTGGGTCAAATATAATGAATCAAAAACCGTATGGCTGAAAAAATGCGTCTAATCAAATGAGTCAAATAATCTAGTCCAAATTATGTGGGTCAAATGGCATGGGTGAAATCACGTGAGTCAGCTGTGTCAAAAATCATGAATAAAATCGTATACATCCCCCAAAACAAAAAACATCACATACCATTCGGAGGAATGTTAGCCTGCTCCAACAAATCCTGAACCGTGCACTCCTCATTAGGTATGTCAAAAGTGATCAACCGTTGCTCCCCCGTTGGCAGTACCACCAGCATCTTGACAGTATTGCCCTTGATCTGATCCTGAACAATGGTTTGATGAGGATGTGTGATCGTCTGCTGGAGATAAGCTATCGATTCCGATCCAGCGTCAGTTTCCGATGAGTTTTGAGTCGATGTATCGATCTCCATCTGTTCAGGGGGTGGCTCTATCTGCTTTTGAGGTGGTCTAGGGGGAGTTGGAGACTTTTGAGGGGTGAGGATTGGTTTTGCAGCGGCAGGTGGGGGTTGCGGAGATCTTCCATGGGAATTTCTCGCTTGTTTTATTCTCTCGGAGAGAAAACCCATGTCCGAGTAACTGCCTAGGGTCTGGGCCCCTTTGTTGAGGGGCTGGAGGGGAGTGTTTTTGAGGGCTGGGGTAGGGGGCTTCGTCAGGGGGGTTGAGGGTTTTGGGAGGGGGGTCTGTGGTTTAGCGAGAGGGGTTGCAGTTTTTGGGAGGGGGGGTGGCCCCTTCGGGATCTGGGCGGGGGGTTTTGGATGGGG